TGCCCACAATTCCGCGTTCACGAGTTTTGAATCACGTCAAATCCCAACGACAGGAGCCAATAACACTTCAGCACCTGGGAGTAAGCCCTTTATGAAGATTGAAATTCCACAATCATCTGAGCTTCCGGATCATCCGCTCACATCGCCCGCTTATCACACACAAGGGTATGTGGAAGGGTTCATGTATCATAACGGACACCCTTCCAATAACGCATCTGTACACCATGGCGGATATCATTCTGATAGTGAACAACATCATAGTAATGGATTAACTCATGCAAACGGACGAGGTACAAGAGTTGATGGTTCCGTGCAAGATTCTAATAATCATCATTCCGGTAGTCCACAAATGAATGGAGACAAGATGAATGGTTCAACCGTAGACCCAAAATCTCCAACAACAAATGCTGGAAGTAATACTACAACGCCAACTACCGAATTGGGAAAAAGCCTTGGCCAGTTGAACATGAATAATTATCGAATTGAAAAATTGGATGAGTCTGATAAGCTGTAAATTTTTTTTTTTTTTCTTTTTTTTTTTCAAAAAATTGTATTTTGTAAAATATACAAAAAAAAAAAAAAAAAAAAAAAAATCGAAATAATAATAATCTCATGGGACGATTGAGAAAGAATTGATCACTTTGAAGTCATCATTAATTTATTTATGATAAATTTTTTTCTTTTGCATAAGAAATTTACGTGGGTTCCGAATTTCATTTTTTTTTTCTCTTTTATAAGGGATAATAATATTCCTTACTTTTGTATTTAATAATTTTTGGGCCTATTGGATTTTTTTTTTAAAAAAAAAAAAAAATTTCAAGACATGGCTTTTATAAATCGTGTTTATATTTGGGTTAGAATCTTTTTTTTTTCATTATTTTTTTAAAAAAAAAAGGTTTTTGGGTAAATATGAGTGTTCAATTAGAGAATAGAAAAAATCACAAAAAAAATTATTACAGGTTTTTTATATTTATTATTATATTTGTACAACTTTTTTATATATATATATAATTTTTTATATCTTAATATTTTTAGTTTGAATTACTTTTTTTTTCAATTATTTACTTTATTTTATATACTTATTTTTTTATTTACTCATCTATTATTACTTATTATATTATATTATACCTTTTCCGAATATTTATATAAATATATCTATTATATTTTTTTTTACTAGTTTATTTATGTAAACCCCTCCCCCCTTTTTTGATTATTTATCATTACTATTTCCGACTTATTTTTTGACATTATTATTATTATTATTATTTCATTCAACTCCGTCTCTTTTTTTTTTTTTTTTTTTTTAATATTTTATTTCAAAAACTAGGAAAAAAAAAATTTCTTTAATCACCTTTTATCACAAAAAAAAAATTTAAATTTGTGCGATATGATTTTACGCGGTTTTATTACGTGATTTCGTGTAATTTAAATTTCATGATAAAATTTTTTGAGACTAAATCTGAATAAAAATCTTGCAAACAAAAAAAACACAAATTTTAATTAAATGACGTATCAAATTGACAAATGTAACCTCAAACCGCAAACTTTAATCAAAGTTTCATGACACAATCAATTAGAAAACTTTATTCATTGTAGAATTTTGACCTTAATGAATTGATTAAAGTTACCAAGAAATGGATAATCATAATACATTTGACATCGTGCACTGTTTTACAAAAAATATTACGCAACAATTTAAGTTAAAACGTGTAATTCTTCTGTAGTGCCATCTTGTTACCTGTTACTAATTCAGCTGTTGCAAAAGGTGACATTACCGGGTTACATGAAATAAAAAAACAACCAACTTTGGTCATGGCAATTTAAACATTGTGGAGATCTTTGATCAGTTGGTTTGCTTGTGTTTATTTTATTGGCTTTTAATATATAATCGAAAAAAAAACAAAAAAGAAAGAGAAAAACAAAACAAAACAAACAAGTTTTAGATGCGAAAATTTTCCGTCCTAAAAATACTTGAATTTTCGAATAAACAAAGTAATATACATAAACGATATATAATCACACAATCGATCCACCGATCCATTTATAGAAGTTCACTTCCATTCATAAATTTCGACGGGAATTTCCCCCCCCCAAAAAAAGTTACTTAATGATTGTATAAATTTGTAATCACTGCGGGAACTTAAATGATAGGATTCACCGATTCCCGCGTCAGTAAAATCTTGGTAAAACGTCAAAAAAAAAAAAAAATCGGTATAATGATCTTGACGGATTTATATAACAAAACATTCAACGATCATAAAATTTTTTTTACCCTCCTTACATTTTTATAAAAAAAATCTCCATTGTCAAAAATAAAAAATTGTTTCACGATTTTTTTTTTTTTGTTTGTTTTAACTTTTGAGTTGATAATGGTTTTCATCAAAAATATTCTGATCGATATTTGGGTCTCATGATACGCCTTTACAATGCCTCTCCCCTTTTAGATTGTTTCATCATGTAGTATGTAATGATTCGATGATGCGTTATTAGTAAAAATTCATCTTGATAAAAATGGGACCAAAATTCGGGTATATTGACAGGTTTATGTGTTCATCAGTATCCTATTTTATTTTTTTCTTTGTTTAAAAAAAAATTCCATTGTCAAAATATAAGAATCCCGATTTTTGATTTTGTTGGTTTATTTAAATCATTAATTATTAATGAATTACATGATAAATTTTTTTTTGATCGATAGTCGGTTCCTTTTTTTTTTAGATTGGATAAATATTTTCGGATCTTACCTTTGATGAAAAAAAAAAATTTACAATGGTACATGTACCACACACTATTATAAATTCGATTATGTGGGGTAATGAACCAAGGCAAATGATACCAGGAAAAATGAAACGAAGATATCACATCGATCATGATCAATCAACCGTTTTTTGTTTAAAATTAGTCGGTTTAACCAACTTTTTTATTCCCTCCTCTTTTTTTTTTGATCATAAATGCCTAGGGATCCTAAAAGTCCCAAAGAATTATTTTTTACAAATTATTATTAAACTTGTCTATTTAATGAGCTACTTGATGAAAATAAATAATAAACCCTCTGGAAATCCCAGAATTTCTTAAAATTTAAAATTTTAGAATTTATGATCGGGTCCCTAGGACGGGGACGATGATTTTTCTGTATTTACAAAATTTTACAGGAATCACGGAATATGGTTTGACAATCATCGTAATGTTGGCTGATCTTGCATAATTCTGGCCAAATCACAGAATTTCACAGAATTAACTTTTATCACACGCAGAATTCATTCTTAATCACTACAGAAATCGTCCCTGCCTTAAGACCGATTCTTTCTTAGCAGTCCTATCAAGGATTAGTTATGGACTACTTAACATTCTATTATAAAATCACGTGCTTTTTAAAAATGAAAATCATAATACTTATACAATCTTTTGTTATTTTATTAAAATCATTAGATAAATAATAATATTATCAATTTTATTTAATTTATTAATACTCTTCATTATATAGGACTTTTTCAATAAAAAGAGAAAAAAAGAAAACTGTCAAAAAAAAATATAAAATAAATTAATATTAAATCTGAACATATTTTAATTTAAAAATCATATTTAAAATATAAAAGTAAATTTAGCTATTATATAAATAACAAAACCTATGAACTTCTTTATCAAAAAAAAAGAAATTAATATTTATTATATATATATTTAGAAAATGTTTCTTATTTAATCAAAAATATATTTATTTGTTAATATAATATTAAATGAAAATAATCTTTAGATACACAAAATATTTAAAAATATTGTAAAGTTAAGAAATTTCAGAATGACATATCACATAATCATTTTTAACTAAGTAAATAATATAGTAAGAATTATAGCATTAAGGTATAAACAAATAATATATGTAATATCACATAATTTAGGTTTATCAAATAATAAAATTACGTAATTTAAATTATTATATATTAAATTATATATTTAAATTTATCTGATTATCATAATTATTAATAAATTTGAAAATATCTTTTTTAACAATGTTTTCAAAAAGATAAACTATATTAGTTCACATTAGGTGCAGTAAATATAAAAAAAATTTTCACATTGACAATAATATATTTTTTGCAAAAATTGCAATATTTTTGTAAAATAAAAGTATAAATTTGTTGTAGATAACTATTGTAAGAATTAGAAACATATATTAAATATAAGAATTATAAAGAAAAACAAAATATAACAGCTTACTTTCTTTTATTTATACAATTACTAAGTCAAAAAATTAACTATTAAAGACCTTATATAAGTATTAGTAATAGCAAACATTTCTTTTAAAAAGGTTAATTTTTTGCTTTTATTTTTTAAAAAATACATTAAAAATAAAAGTTCTATTCTTAAAGTAAACTTATCACAAATAAATAAAACTTTCACCTTCTTATATATTCAAAGTAACAAAAAATTTATTATTCTTTATTATTACTTAACATACTATACCTATATAAATAGTTTACTGAAAAAAACAGCATTTTATAGATAGATATATAGTTTTTTCTTTAACTTACAGGTATTTTCTTCAGATTTAAATATAATAAGTAAATAATAATAAAATTGGCTTTAATCAAAAGCACTATATATAATATAGTTTAATTATATAATTTACTTATATATTAGCAAAACTATTTATCAAATATTTTAATAAATTTTTATTAATAAAACTTTTTTCTTGTAAAAGGTCTCATTTATAATAAAAATTTATTATTATTCATTATTTGAATTATAAATGTCTGCCGAAACCTTCTCAAAATAATTTTGTCATACTCTTTTCTATATTTTTAATATAGATTTAACAGTTTCAGCTTTCATTATATCAAAAAGGTTTTATTATATCTCTTATTATGATTTTAATATAGTTTCGTCTAAGTTTTGACTGTTATTAAGGGGTTTTGTCTCTTATCTATTATTTGAATATATTATGAATATAGAATTATAAGGTTATAAAATATATCAATTTTTTATCTTTAAATACAAGTATTATGCTGGGTTTTAATATTTTTTTTTAGAAATAGGAGTATAAATATAATATTATTTTCATAATTATTTCAGGCCTGTATTTTGACCAGATTCTCTCTTCTAATTATATTAGTATTAATAGTAATTCTTTTAGAATTTAATTATAAAATTAACTATAAAATGTATAAAAGAGATATAAATTTATTTTTAATTTTACTAATAATAAATTATACTAATAAATCATAAAAAATTATATAAAATTACTTGTGATCTAACATATCGAAATATAATTTTTTTCATTTTGCATTAAAATTATTTTCATATTCACCTTGCAAAGTAATGTCATTCTTCTTAGTATATATTTTTTAATTTATATTATTAGAAATAAATTTTCTAATGACTTTCCTATATGTGAAAATAAAATTGCTAATGAATTTTTTGTATGTATATCTATATTAATGATAAACTTACTGCAAAAATCAAAAAAAATAAGGTATATAATAGAAGTATTATTATGAAAATCAAAAAAATTCTTACTAA